TTTTCCCTTCTTCTTCTTCTTCTTCTTCTTCTTCTTCTTCTTCTTCTTCTTCTTCTTCTTCTTCTTCTTCTTCTTCTTCTTCTTCTTCTTCTTCTTCTTCTCCTTCTCCTCCTCCTCCTCCTCCTCCTCTCCCTCCGGCCTCACAGGCACCCTCTGCTGCCTTTTCCACCCCTTCCCCTTTTAATTTTATTGCATTTTTCTTTTTAAAGGAGCACCTTATTTACAGTATGGCCCAGGAACAGGATTTCTTGTCAATAATTCTCCCTGCTTTAATTTGGGGGGGGGGAGAAGAGAGAGAGAGAGAGTGTGTATAGACCCCCCCCGTGTGGCGATGAATAGACTCCCAGGGAGACTGGATTGCTCTGCCAAAACCGCACCCAGCCGCGGGGGTAATTTATTTCCGTGGGTGTACGTCAGGAGAAGAAAAGGCGGGGGGGGGGATCAGTAGGCAGACAAGGCTCCTGCCTGCAATGGGGACGAGGGGGAAACAAAACCCAGATGCCTTCAGCAGAACAAGGAACAATCCCATCGGGTCGCAGGCCAGCCCCCCCCCTTTCTCCCGTCCTTGAGCCGCAAAGCCCTCCCTCCGCCAACAGTCAGTCGTGTGAACTTGAGGGGGACCCGAGTGCTCCCTTCTCAGGCTCCCCGCATGTTGTGGGGGGCACCGTCCGCCTGCCCGTCTCGCCTCCAGGGAGGACGGACGGAGGCTGCCGTCGACTCCAGATGGGCCTGGCAAAGGCGGTCGCCACCCTCCCCGCATAGCAATCGCTTCTGGAGTAGGTCCCCTGGCAACCCTGAGGCAGCCAGGGCGCCACGGGGGTCTGGGAAGAGAGGAGACAAAGCCTTAGGTGGGGGGGTGGGGAGAGACAGGAGGCCTACACACACACACACACACACACACACACACACACACACACTCCCCCGAGGGATAGTTGTGCATGTCATAAATTGCAGGGCTGCCACGCCAGGGAGCTGCCCCGTGGCCTTTGGCCCCGAGCCCTGGGCTAAGGGTGCTGGCTGGCCTGCCAGGTCTTCCTTGAGCACAGGGGGAGGGGGGGGCAGAGATGGCTGCACCTACAAAGACTCGTAGGCATCCAGAGTCGGAAGGGACCCCCACGAGGGTGGAACTCTCTGCCTATGAAATGGGCAGCTCAGGTATCCCTGGCGAGCTTCCCTCCAACTTCTCACGGCTCTTCTCCAACGTTCTGCAGCCTCAGAGGTTCCTGGAGCAACCCAGGAAGAGGCTCTTCTCCTCTGTCCACCATTTGGCCCACCTTGCCCAGGATGTCCAGCTCTGACTGGCTGCAGCTGCTCTCTGGGATTCTGGGAGAGACCCTGAAGAGATCCTGACTTGGAGACCCCGGTCTTCCTTGGAGGTGGGACGTCTCTCCATCCCGAGACCAACCAAGCTGGTGAGTCACTGAAAGATGAAATCATGGGTGTTTCAGGTGGGGGAGGGAGGGGGTGGAAATGGGCCCGATTCAAGACAGCAGCTTCCCGTCCCTCACAGTGTGTATGGGCGTGGGGGGGGGCGCGCGATGGATCCTTAACTTACCAGCTTTCCTCATCTCACATCTGGCGCTTTAATGCAGTCTTGTAGGTTCTGCGCCCCCAGAGGAGTCAGATGCCCCAGGCGCTGGAGATGGTTAGATCCTGGCAGGAACATGTCCTAAACGCGTCAAGGGGACAGAAAGAGAGAATGAACTTCTGTAAAGGCCTGTCTCCTCCTTAGATGGGCAATGCAACATCATTTTGAAATAATTTAGACAGAACTGCAATGCCTCTCATGCAACTGGAGGAAACTCTGGTTGAGGGCGAGCCTCTGCTAACTGAGCGGGACCGGAAAATTTCTCGGCCACTTCCTCTCCCTCCTTCTGGTTGCTTGTGCGGACTTGAGCAGGCCCACGGGATCAAGGAACGGTTGGCTTCTGGGTGGGAAAAGCCGAGAGAGTGGGGTCTTTCTCATTAAACCCGGGGTGCGGGTGGGCAGACCCACAAGCAGGGGCCCCTTGGGAGAAAGGGCTGCTGCCTTGTCAGGCCGTTGGGCATAAGGAAGGAAGCAGGGAGGGAGGAGCTGATGATGGATAGAAGGAATGAAGGGAGGGAGGAGAGGAAATTGTTTCACATCTTCTGCATCAGCTAAAGTGTCTATTTTGTTTTAAGACTTCAGCCCTCCTTGGGAAGGAATAATGATATGCATAACTCAGTTGTTGTTGTTATTGTTGTTGTTGTTAAAAAATAATCAGGCACAATAAATCAGAATTATAAAAACTTTCACTGGTATTACATAACAGGTACAAGTTTTAACCAAAAATCTAAGTATCTGTTAAATATTAGCACTGTTGTTTTGTAGCTCTATGGTGTGATTTTCTGAGATCTGCAATGGATAATGATATGCATAACTCAGTTGTTGTTGTTATTGTTGTTGTTGTTAAAAAATAATCAGGCACAATAAATCAGAATTATAAAAACTTTCACTGGTATTACATAACAGGTACAAGTTTTAACCAAAAATCTAAGTATCTGTTAAATATTAGCACTGTTGTTTTGTAGCTCTATGGTGTGATTTTCTGAGATCTGCAATGGCTTATAGTATGGTGTGAAATTTCTTGATATGGTTCCCCAAAGCCCCAAGGACGACGGGGACCACTGAGTTGTGCTTCATCCACAAGCGAGATGTTTTGATGGCCAGGTCTCTGTATTTAGTTAGTTTTTTTCCAATTCTTTCTTTTCAACTCCGTCCTCCCCGGGAATTGCAAGGTCAAGGATCCAGACCTTTCTTCCTTCTATGACTGCTAGGTCTGGCGTGTTGTGTTCAAAGTGTCTCTCAGTTTGGATCTGGAAATCGCACAAGTTCTTGACATCGTTAACAACTTCTCCTTCTTTCCCAAGTTCAATAAGAACATTCAGGCAGATGATGGGGTGTGGGAAGGCTGCGTGCCCATGAGTTTGTTTTGCCAGAGATTCCCAGTAGGGTCCTCAATAAGGAGGCAGGTGACGTAAACTCACAAGAGGCTCCTTCTGACCTGAGGACCCCAAAAGCAGAAGAGCGTCTGGCTGCGGACGGAGGAAAAGAAGTCTCAGGAAACGTGTGGAAGAGGGACAGAAAAATCCGCAGTGAGCCGGCCACACAATGATGCTCTATTCCATGAATCGCCCGGTCTAATCCTCTTCGTTTTTTAATTGGCATTGAGGCTAAGCTGATTTAAACCTCTTCAGTTGTTGTTTTTTTTTTGGGGGGGGGAGGCCCGCCCGCCCGCTTTTAAACCTCTTCAGTTGTTGTTTTTTTTTGGGGGGGGAGGCCCGCCCGCGCGCATGCACGCACGCACACCCCAGCTTGCTTTCTTCAGTCTTTCTCCCCCCCCGACTTTGCCCCCAATAACAAGCTGCTCATCGCCACCCCCCCACTTCGGCCACAATGGCACCTTTGTGTGTAAGGGGGGGGTGGAGGGATGGAAAGGTGGCGGTGGGGGAACAGCAAACCAACCCTGAAAACAATAAAGCGTTTTGTGAATTAAGCAGGCCGCTACGGTGAGGAAGGCAGGCGGCTCTGGACAGGGCAGGCTGAGGGCAGAAAGGCATGGCTGTCTTTTTTAATTTTTTGCATTCTTACCTCCACCTACACAAGACACACACAAAATAATTCCCTTCACCTGGCTGCGCCCCCCCCACGCTTCCTCCTCCATCATCCCCCTCACCTTTTGCTCAGGTCAGTTGGTGGCAAAGGGGCAAAGCTCTCCCTGGGAATCACCCTGCACGCCCGGCGGGCACCATCCTTGCCTGCAAGAGGTGGGAAGGGCTCCTCGTTTAGCGAGCGATGTATTCATTTCTATTCCTCTGGAATAGATACGTTCCTATCCCCTCCTTGCACGAATCACGTCTGTGGTTCTCCCTTCTGAAGCCGTTCCATCTTCCAAGCAGCCTTTGGCGATGGAGGTCATGAGGTGAGGAGGGGACTCCTTTAAGCGACTCAGCGGGGGTCTAGCTCTCTAACCACTGCCCCTCCCTGCCTGTGGCTGTACCCGGAGATGTTGAGAAGATGCCACCCTGGCTAACGACGCAACCTATTTCCCCACAGGGGTTAAAACAGAGACGGGAAACGCACGCCAACCTGGACGCTGGCGAGTTTAAGATCCCAATGGTCAGGTTTTCAGATCACCGCCAGGAAACATTTAAGAGCCTTCCATTTAACAGCAAATAAGAGGGCTGGATAGCTCAGTGGTTTAGGTCTCTGCCTGTAGAGCCGGAAGTTGGGAGTTCGAATCCCCCCCCACTGTGCCTCCTGCAAAGCAGAGCCAGCCTGGGTGGCCTTGGGCCAGCGGCACGAGAGTCCCAGGGCAACCCCAGAAGGAAGGAAGGGCCAACCCCTCCAGAGTCACCCCTATCTGGAAAACCCTGAAAAAGGGGCGCCCTAAGTCAAAATTGACTGGGTGGCACATGATGGTTATTTATTATTAATAGCAAATAAGTTACTAGCCCTCAGCCATTATTATTAGCTTTTCTCTGTTCACCGAGAGTATGTTCGAGATACGAGTTGCCTTTGGACCTTAATTTAACAGAAAAGTGGGTGTACATTTTTAAAATACAATGCGGACTTAAAATTAAAAATGAACACAGAGAGAGATTTACTTATAGGGGTTTACTGACAATGATCCTTGGGGAGATTCTAGGTGAGGCCATGAGAAACTAGGAGATTTCTTGCTGTTTTCTGCACACACACAAAATCCCTCATTTAGTCTCCAGATAAGGCTAGGAAAGGACTGGGCTTCAAATTCCAGTGAGTTGCTGCTGCCAGTCAGAGCTGGTCCTCCTGGCCGAAGTGGACCTCCCCAACATGGCCTTCCTGCTTCAATATTTCAAGGCAGGAGTAGCCCCCCCCCGCTTTCCATGGCCTCGGGTTCAGCCCCCAGCAAGCCTCGGTAGGTGTAAAACAAAGAACGGATCCCACCTGAGACGTTGGACAGCTGTTTCTTTACAAATGCAAGCTGGATTGTCCTAGGAAGAGAGGAAGACCCAACCTGAGATGGATTGACTCCCTAAAAGGAAGCCACCGTCTTGAACCTGGAAGACCCGAGCACAGCAAGGGCACCTCTTTGGAGGCCCCCAGTTTCCATGGGGTTGCCATACATTGGGAGCCCGTTTTTGTGTGTGTTTTCTGCCCTTTTTTTCCCCAAGCATTCCACAAAATCACAGACCAGCCGGGGTGGTGGTGGTGGTGGCGGTCATCCTCTGAAGACGTTTCAATGATGGACAATCAAGGTTTGGAGGAGAAACGGCATGAAAGTAGTGGCACTTTGGCCTCTGATCTCTAGCAGTCCGTGTTCAAGGTGGGGGGACGAAAGAATCTCTCTTGTTTCAGAACCTTGCTATTTTGGCACTCAAGGTGAGCCTTTAACCCAGCAGACTCTCTAAACGTAACCCCCTTGCTTCCTTGGCCTTAAGGCGGCTGCTCTGTCGACGCTCACCATTTTTCTGCTTTAAGCCAAAGGAAGGCACTCATCGCGCGGGAAGCTCAGAGGGCTCTGCGGGTTTTTAGGCTCCAAGGATGCAAGACTATGCTCCTGCGAGCCCTTCATTCACCTAGGAACCTCCATCTTGGGTGGCCAGCATCCTGCTTCCAAGTACAATGGCCGACACCACCAGCCGGAGTTTATGAACTCGAAAGGCTTTTGCCCCCACTTCCTCCCCCAGTCTCTTAAGTTTGATGAAGAGTTTTAGAGAACGCCAAAGTCTGCCTTGTTGACCAATTTTTAGCGATCCAGTAGAGGTGGGTTGTTGTTGTTTCCCCCTCCAAAAAGAAAAAGAAAAAGAAAAAAGAAAAAGAAGAGCAGATCATGCCCCAGTGGCTGCCTTGGCACACGTCGGTCCTTTCAGGAGGAACGCTTGGAAATGCACGAGGCCCCCCCGAAGAAAAATCTGAGCGGAGGCCAGTCGTGGGTATTGATGGCTGGGTGGAAGATCGGCCATTTTGTGGGAGCCGGCTGCCTAAGATGGTGTCTCTCTTTCTCTCTCTCTCTCTCTCTGCCTCTGTCTCTTTATCACCCATGCCTCATGCCCTCAGAATTTGCCAGAAGAAGAAGAGGAAGCAGGGAAGAGCACAGGAGGGGAGGCAGGATGGCGGGAAGGGCAGGAGAGAGGCAGGAAGCCTTTGCCGGATGCTGAAAGGACCCCTCTGTCTTTCGCAAAGAGCAGAGAAAGGGAGAGAACAAAGCACAGCAAAGCCAAACAAACAGTTGCAATGGAATTATTCGTTGATGGAGACGAGGGTGTGTGTGTGTGTGCGAGGGTGTGTGTGTGAGAGAGAGTCTTCCTTTTGTCTTTGCCGACACCCCTCTCCAGCGCCCCCCCCCGCCCCTGGATCGCCCGCTTTGACTTTTCCCACAGAGGTAGCTAACCACCAGGAATGCAAATGATGTTCATTATGCAAATGCATGCAAATGGAGTCTAACTATAAAAGGAGGAGAAGCGAGGGGCTCTACATCCCTAATGAGGGTGGACGTTTTTTGCCTTTACCCTCTGCGTGGACTTGCGGGGGGGGGCATGTGTGTGTGAAAGGCGCCTGTGTCTGGTTTGGGGCTTGGCTCGGGCGGCGCTGGCAGTAGGGGCAGCAGTGGGCTGGCATGGCTATTCATCATCTCCCCCACCACCCTGCACATGGACAAACCTTTCCCACCGTTGTCGCTTGATTTGCAGGGGAAATGACTTTCTTCTCCTGGCACTCCTGCATTGGCACAGCCCGGTCGTTCGGATGGCAGAGAGTGAGACCACCGCCTTCTTCCTGTCCTTCTTCTTCTTCCTCTTCTTCTTCCTCCTCTCACCTGCCTTGCTTTGCCACGCCAGAGAAGGACGTGGCCCACAGCAGCAAAAACAGAAAGCCCATGAAGCAGAGGCTGTGAACTTCGCTCCTGTGGTCATTCAATGTGGCTGTGAAGAACACGGGGGGGGCAGGGGGGGAAGAGAGAGATGGACGGAGAGAGAACAAGTGCCAAATTAAGGCTAGCCATGGAAGCGACGAGGCCCCTCCCAGGAGGACACAAAAAAACCCTTGGCCTTCAGGTGGGAAACCGTTCCAATTAGGGCTGCCCCCAAAACCCACCCCAGCATCCTTGCAAAAGCATTTCGGCCTTACAAAAGGCGCCAGGGTCCGTGTGAAAGCGACGCTCAAATGCTGCGAGCAATTGTATAATAATTTGAGCAGCCTGACTGGATCTGTGGGGCGTGGGGGCCCTTCTGCAGCAAGGAAGGGGGGGTTGGTCTCCCAAAGAGACCTGTTTCGTCCAGGAAATTAACAACCACCACCACAACACCCATGCCATGAGGGTGATGTAACCTCTGTGCTTTTCTCTCCTCCTCCTGATGGCTAGTTTGATTCTGTTGCCCATTTGCTATGAGAGGAGTATTCAGTGTCCGAGCATTTTCCCTTTGTGCTTATTCCCGGTCAGATGTTTTCATTCTGAAATCCGTTAGTACGAACACAAACAAACAATGCGACCCCACCAAAACCCAAATGCAAAGCTTTTTTAAAAAATAAACGCACACCCCAGGGAGAAATTCCAGCGCAGGAATGGACCTGTTAATGCACATTTAGCGGATGCATTTCTTGCACAAAAGTGGCTTTCAGAGAACCACCAAGTGAGATTTGGGTGGATCCTGGGGTGAGGGTCAGTTCAAAGCTGAGCCTGAACCAAGATGTGTCTCAGCCGTGGCGGGACAGCATGGACAGAATCGCAGTCCCAAAGGCACAGAAATGAACAGCTCGACGTTAGCCTGTGCTAAGCAGGTCTCCTCCGGACTGCTTCCTCCAGGACTGGGTGTCCCTGTTTCAGGAAGAAGTGGGCAATCCGGAACATGTTTGGAGAAAGGCCCTGGAAGGGATCAGGCTCTTTCCTTTGAGGAAGGCTGAAGGAATCCCAGGCTGCTTTCACTCTGGATTCCTGGATCCCTTCCGGAGTCTATCCGCCTGAGGGTTCAACGGGCCCACCTGGAGCGCCGGCAGAAGTGGGTAGAGTCGTCCTGCTCTCAGCTGTGCCAGCCCGCAAGGAGAGGCCATGGGCTTGAATGGCGAGGAAGGAAGACTTCTTGACGTACATCATGGTGCCAAACATCTTGGAAATGCACGGCAGAGAAGAGAACGGGTGGGTACTCTTGGATCGAAGGTCTTCAAAGAGAGCCGTTTCCCGCCCCCCCCAGTGCTGGACTGGCACCTTCCTGGCAGGGGAGCTGGACTTCCCGCCCGCCCACTTTGTGATTTTTTGTGAAAACAGACTTCCATGGAGAGACCCGTTTGGCATTCACATCAAGGTACTTCTTCAGCCAACAGCTTTAAAATATAAAAACAACTCACATCTTCCCGTTCACTTTGCAACTCCTTTCAACCACCATTTTCTTCCCCCTCTTGATGCTTTGGCCGTTGGGTGTTGCTGGTTTATAGTGGCTTCTGTTTTTGCCACTTTATTTTGCCACTCTGTTCCTTTTGCTGTTATTTTTTTAAAAAACAAAGTTTCTCCACAGATAAAAACACCTGCCCAAATATTCGAGTTGGGATGTTTAATTCCAGAGCTACATAATTTTTAAAAGCCGCCTTTCTGTTTCCTTGATTAGACTCTTTCTCAGAATGAGCTTATCCGTCAATGTCCAGCCGATATTCCCATACCCCATCTAGGCAGAAATAAGTTCGGCTATTTGCAACTGAAGAATTGCAGCCTTAATCATCCATGCTAGATGCTGCATCTTTTGAAACCATTCGAGTACTCTCAGTGCTTTTCTTTCCCAGGACATGGTAACACATTTTTGTTTTCAGCAGGCAGAAAAGACTTTAGGGGCAACCCCCCCCACTCAGGAAAATGTGACAGTCCTGCTGTTACAAACATTTTCCTCTGAGAGAGGCCGTGCCATCAAAGCTCCAGTCCCTGGTAATCAGATTTGCAGATGAAGCCCACATTTACCTGCCGAGGACAAATCACGAAACCAAAGCAAGACCTTTTATCTCCTAAGTGAGTTCCATTTTTAACGCATATAACTGTATGCCTGTGTTACCGGGATGCACCCTGGCCTTGGAGCCTGGGGGGGGGGAGATGAGAGACCCAGACAATATCTGCATTTTTAAAGAGCCTTCTCCAGCAAGTGGGTGGGAGAGAGAGAGAGAGAGAGACAAGAGGGGGATCCGCGGGAAGGTGGGCAGCAGGGCCGAGAGCGAGCGGCATTTACCCAAGGCCCACGTCCCTTCACAAACAGGCCTTTGCACGTCCTGTCCAAACCCAACCGCCTCAAACAAAAGTCCCTTTCAGGGCTTCCCAGACACCAGTCCTTCAGCTCAATTAGTCAAGCACACACACACGCACACACACACACACACACGCACATGCCCTTGCTGAAAAAAAAAAAAAAAGAGAGAGAGAGAGAGAGAGAAAGCCTTTGCCGGAGGCAGCCAGCCTGGCCGTCCAGCCGGGGTGCAAGGAAGGCTATAAGGGACTGGAGGGGGCAGGTGGGGGGGGGGAATGAATGCCTCTTTCTCCTCCTGGGGTTCCCCCCACCACCAGGGCAGCGACAACAACAGGCGGTGGCAAGGAAAGGGGGCCTTCTTTCTGGAGAGAAGGGCCAGGATGCGGCTCAAGCCCCAAGGAGGAGAAAAGAAGCCTTTGAGAGAGAAGGGGAAGGGAAAACAAGGAGCCCCCCCCCAGCGTGGGAAGGGAACCTGAATCAGGGAAGACGGCTGAGGGACGGAGCACCCGTCCTTTTTCCCAGGGTCAGGAGGAAGGGGCCACTTAGGCCGGGACTCCGCAAGGCCTCCTCCTGGCACACACACACCCAAATGGTGGTTGTGAGGTGGAGGGAGATGGGGGAATATCAGTGTCCCCAGCTCTGAAGGGCAGCCATGCCTCAGGCAGAGAATCCCACCCCAGTCCTAAAAGGTGGCACTGGGTGGGGCAATTTTGAAGCTGGGGTTTCGAAACCCTCACTCCCTTTTCTAATGAGTCCAACCCAGACCCTCCTGTCTCCCTGCCGCTGTGGGTTCCCTGCCCCGTTAAAAGGGGGCTGGACTAGATGACCCCACGGGGTCCCTTCCCACTCTGCTGTTCTCTAGGCTACATCATGCATTGGACGATCTTGCACCTGGCACACCCCCATGCTCCCTCGGGGAATGGCTTTGAGGGAAACCAGACCGTCCACCTCTTGGCACTGGGAAACTAGCCTCCAAGGAGGGGAACCATGTGGACAGCCAGGAATGTCATCATCATTTGTCACTGTCTGTCACTGAAAAAAGTCTTACATTGTGAGGAAAGGGGATCTCACCAAACCAGGGTCATTTTGGGGAACCAAGTGTTTCACCTGGACAAGCCCACAGAGGCTCTGACCGCCCGCCTTTCCTATGGTACGGTCCTTGCAGAGAGCAGAAAACTCACGCGGGACTCAGCCGGGAGGTCACGTTGGAGAGTGATGCTTAACATGGGTCCTCATCCTCCCTCTCAGGCTGCTAGAGGGGACGGTGGTGTGTTTCTCTCCCTGTCCTCTCTCTGTCTCTCTCTTTCTCTCTCCTTCTGGGGTGTTGGCCTGGGAAAACGAAGAGGAGAAATACAGTCATTGAACTCCCGAAAGAAACCTCAAAACTGGTGCGTCCAAAGCATGAGGAAGCCTGGCGGTAGCTGGTTTGGAATTTGTTCCCTCCGCTGATGCAAAACCATAACAGAGCTCTAAAAAGGGAACTTTAAAGCCATTTTTGTAAGCCTTACATATGTGATCCAGTTTGCTGTCTCTTTCATGGGTAAACATTTTTCCACGAAAGAGTTGTGTTTAGGCAGTTTTGGCATACAAAGCAAAGCAAATGCATAAATGCATGCATGCATGCATACATGCATGAATGCATGAATAAACAAACGAACAAACAAACAAATATTTAGGGATTAGTTATATCCCTCAAACAGAGCTGGAAAAATTTTGATTGAAGGGCTATTTCATTCTTATTATCTATTAATATAGATCTATAATAAATATAGAAATAATATATAGATCGATATTTAAAATACATAGTGCAAATGAAAATAAATAAGTAGTTTGCAAAGCATAGGAAAAAGAAAAAGAAAAGAAAGGCTACCACTTATGTTGATTTTTGCTACACAGGCAAAAATACATGTTATTTTAATGAAACACTGTGTACATAAGGTAAGTTTTATAATTATTGAACATCACTTTGAAATCTTCAGATCTAAGCAGTTTATGAACAGAAGTGAATCAAAGGTCAAAAGAGGAGAAGATGGAAGTAAAATGTCTTGGATAAATAAACAAACAACCCCCCCTTAATCGAGAAAAAAAATTAGTTAATTAATCTGCCAGTTAACCCTTTCAGCTGCTGAAGAGCTCTGTGTATCTAAAAAGCTGGCCGCAAATAAAAAGAAAACAGGGCAAGAGGGTTATGTTGCGGTGTTCGGCATTGCTTTTCAAGACCCGTGATGGAAAGGGCAAAGAATTGGCATGAAGGGGGGGGAGGGAACCCGGAGGTGCAGGAAACCCCTCTCACATCCAGGGGGTACCCACCCCCTGGGCCCTCCAGCGGCTTCTGGGCCAGGCTCCCCCCGGGAGGTTTTCGAAGCCCAGAAGCCAGCAGGACCTGAAGAATCCGAGTCGAGAGACCTCAAGAATGCCGGAATGCCAAAAGCCGGTGGCTTAGCACCCTTAATAAGCTACTGTGGCGACATACGATTTGAGGCCTTAATACGACTCAACACAGGGTCACGCTGGAGACAAAACTTGGCACAGGCTACAGGGCGCACCAAGAGGCGAAATCCCAAGAAGGGAGGGGAGAAGTTCTGCCTCAGGCAGAGGGCAGATTAGGTGGCCTCTCTCCGCGGCTCTGTGAACAGGAGCTCTGCTTAAACTCTGTTCAACTGTCTCTTGTTAGGCGTGAGCCGTGGGACCACCGTTCAAACAGCGGGTGCCCTCCCTCCTCTTTGTGTAAAAAGCGGGTAGCGGTAGCCGGATGGGTTACAAAGTCTAACTCATCCGGGAATTACATTCTGCGCAGAAAAGGGTCCTGTTGCTAAGGCTTCAGAGGTCGCCGGCCTCTTCCGGAAGGTGAGACATCTCAGGCCCATTTTTCAGGGCCCATTTTCCTTTTTTTCCCCCCTTCCAGAATTGGCTACTGTTTCGCGTCCCTGACATGAAACGTCTTGCATCAGGGTGAGTTGGCGAAGAATTGGTAACAACTGGAAAAACTGATGGGACCTTTCTGTCTGTCTGCCTGCCTTTCTTTTTCTTTCTTTTTATTTTAAGCACCCCGATGGGGAAGAGCTTTAGCATGGTGGATAGAGAGCGTGCCCTTGGCTAATGCTCATTATTTCTGCATAAACTCACCAGAATTCCACACACAGAAAAAACCTCATAGGTGAAATGACACAACCACAAGAAGCCTCTATTACCACACCAAAGGCCACCCGGCTCCTCTTAAAATCTCATATATAGGAAAGCGCCCCACAGGCTGAGGGAGACGACATGGCTCCCAACAAAACTGGCATAATCTTCAGAAAAGTCTTCTTAAGGTTAGTCAAAATCTCCCTGGTTTGGTTTGAATCCTGGCTGCCCTTCTTACTCCCTTCTCAGTCTTCTGTTCTCCCAGCAAAATATCCGGACCCATATTTGAAATGCTTCATCCTTTCACCCTCCAAAAAGAGGCAGACTGGACAGCTGAATGCGAAGTCTACTCCTACGTAAAGCCCATTGTTTCAACTAACAGCTAGTTGAATTGAACTTAGGCTAATGATAAGGAAAGCAATCGAAACACACACAATTAAAGCATAACACATATTAAGGTGAAGCTCAGTATTCAGCCAAGAAAGGAAAACAGCAGCGATTGCTCACTTAAGATGCCCCTCGTTTTAGGAGGAGAAAATCCACAGCCACAAAGAGGCCCTTTCTGGTGTCTTCGCCAAATGGGTCTGCAATGGGGGTGGAAGAGAGAAAGAGACACCCTTTGCCCCCCCCAAAAAAATTAAAATTAAAAAAAAAGTTAGGAACTGACCTTTGATCTAGATGGGCGGGGTATAAATCTAATAAAATAAATAAATAAACAAACTGGGCAGGTTGGTGTGGGAAGTGACCCGCCTTCAAAGAGCCTGGATCCAATCTGAGGATCAGTAGCTGGTGGAGATGCTGTCCTTCTGGCGAGCTACAGGCTCCCAGTAAATTAGCCGCTGTCCGTGGTCTGAAATGGAAATATTTTGGACCTGACCTAGTGGTGGAATTTGCTACCAAGGGCCGCTCCATGTAGAGTGCCTTGGGGCAGCCAAACCAGGGTGCAACACCATCCCACGGAGACCCACGAACTTCTTTCGGCTCCAGCGCAGCCATAGAAGCCCATTCCTGGCCACCATCCGCGCCCGGATTGCATCGGGTCGAGCCGTCTGCATCTTAAAGCTTTGCTCCTTGGCTGATCCACAGCAATTTAAGCCCTAGTTCTGAGCACACACAGGCTACCTCTCGCCCTCCCCTCAAGGGCAGGCCACAGCCTCCCAGGAACAAGGTCGGAAAATTCAACCCAGGGTAATCCACAGAGGGGGGGAAAGCCATGGCAAAGGAGATATTAAAAAAGAAGGAATTCAGGATCTTTAAACAGGATCTCTGCCATGCATGGCAAGCAGAGAGAGCAGGAAGACAAGAAAGTGACAAGGGTCAGCACTGAAGAATTTGTAGAAACATGAATTTTTTCCAGTTACCTTATTGTCCCAAAAAGCAATGTTTCCACATTCTGGGAATTTGGGACCCAATTTTAAATTCCTCCACCCCCCCTTGAAGATGCAGCTGCCTGCCAGACAAAACTGCCTGGCATTTCTTCCAGATTGCAACATCCTCGTCCACTTAAGGAAGCAACAGGGAGAAACATCCGGACATCCAGGGTAATTATCTGTCCGTGAATGTATAGGGGGCCCCCGTGCGTTCCTATAATATCACACATACATAATTCCACCTCAGCACACAGAAACTTCCTCTCTAAACTGAGAAATGTTACTCTAAGCTTTTAGGACGTCCTCTTTAATATTAGCTTTTTCCAAAGTCCCCCGGCACTGAAGGTGTGAGATTTCACTTTTACACGACTCTAACCCCATTCATTCTCCTCTGTGGACACAAAAAAGCTATATTTCCAGATACATGGACAGCGAGGCTGGCCACAAAGATCCCGCAAATTCAACCCACAGCCATTAGGCGCAAAATTTCCTTTTCTACAGTAAAGTTAGAAGAAAGCACAGGGGCAAAAAAATAAATAAAAAATCAGGGAACTTTCTCAAATAATCTGGGGGAGCAAAAAAACCAACAACAAAAAACAACCCAATCAGCTAATTTTGATCTTACATTATTATACTGTTTTTTAAATGCCATGCCTTTACATCTTGGTTATCCAAAATAGCTCCTGGTTATACGTTACTGTGTTGATTATTAAC